ATCCATTTTATATTACTCTGACAGGTGTGTGCTTGCATCTATATAATTGTTACCACGCTTAGCGCGTGCGTTCAGCATAAACATTCCAGTCAGTAGGCCTCTTCCAATTCGGCTCGAGAGCTCCCACATGTTGAAGACGTTTTTTAGGACGAGATCACCTGCCTTGAACGCCCGTGGTTTGGCTCTAGCATTGTAGTATCGCGTCATGCGATATTGATACGTACTCAACTCGGCAGAGTTGGGAATGAGCTCGTTTTTCTTCGAGGAGGTCAAGATTGAGTATACGTGCCTCATCATTGGCTCGCTGGTCGAAGTTCTTGACTCGCAGCATCGATAATTCGATTTCTACTAGAATGACTACTTCTGACTCGATGGGCAAACTGAAGAGAGTTTTGCCAGTGGATCTACGCGTGGTGGTTTGGTATGACCATAATACCTCAAGTAGGTCCTCGGCCTAGCATCACTTTAGTGACTCAAGCTTCATTTTTAATCCTCGCTTTATGATCTTATTTATGGTCTCGACCAGTCCATTAGCCCGAGGATGGGCGAGGGACGAACTGAGTTGCTCGATCCCAAGGTCGTTACAGAACTTGTTAAAGCGCGTGTTGTTGAACTGCTTCCCATTGTCGGTAATTAAGGCATGAGAGATGTTGAACTGACAAATTATGTTTCTCTTTACAAAGTTTGTCCCCTTTTACTTGGTTATCTTTAACATGGTTCATTTGGCCTTTGCCCATAGACAGTGGTTCGATGAGGTTTAGGCCGCATTGCGTAAATGGCCATGGACTAGAGATCGTCGTAAGTACCTCTAGGGGTTGATGCGGTATGTTGGAAAATTGTTGGCACTTATCACACTTTTTGACGAACTCCTTAGCATCGTGGTCCAAACTTGTCCAATAATAGCCTTGTCGGACTATCTTTGCTACCATGGACCGAGCTCTTGAGTGATTTCCAAAAACACCTTCGTGGACTTCCCTCATGATGTAATTTGCCTCGTCCGGATCGAGTCACCTAAGGAGTTGGAGAGAGAATCCCTGTTTGTAGAGTTGGCCATCTTGCATCACATAATGGATAGCTCTATGCTCGAGCTTTTCGCGCCTCGCCTCGGTCGACATGTATGTTTCCACTAGGGTACTCTTTAATTGGATCCATCCATGCGGGAAAACTTGGTTGTAAATATATCACCTCGACTTGATCGATGGACGACTCATTCAGTACTTCCACTGGGACAGATCATGACAGGTTGATTTGTAAGCTGAAGCGACACAAGCTAATGCGTTGGCATTAGAGTATCGACCATGGCACCTACCAGATCACATACTTCTTAAACTGGTTGAAGAGCTTTCTAGCTTTGTTCAAGTAGTGCTCCATCCGACTGTCTTTTGTCTGATACTCTTCATTGATTTGATTGACGATGAGCTGGGAGTCGCTGAGGATGAGGAGGTGGTTCACTCCCATCCCCCCTGCAACTCTAAGTTCTACTATCAGTGCCTCACATTCAACTTCGTTATTAGAGGCTCGAAAGTTAAACCTTAGTGCGTATTCGAAACGCAACTCACTTGGGTCGAGCAGAAGCATTTCGGCCACACAACTCTTCTCATTACAAGATCCATCAACTAAAACATCCATTGGTCCCAGTCATCGGCCCCCGGCCTGTATGGGATTAGGTCAGCAATGAAATTTGCAGCAGCCTGACCCTTCAGGGCGGTTATAAGCTCGAAACCAATGTCATATTCACCGAGTTCTAGGGCCCATTTCATGAGCCTTCCTGAGGTCTCAGGTTTGTGGAAGACTTGCCACAGGGGGAAATTGGTTAGTACCGTGACGTGGTGGCTTGGAAGTATGGTCACAGTCTTCAAGCTGAAGTCACCAAAGCTAAGGCAAGCTTCTCAATGCACAGGCACCTCGTCTCCGCATCAGTCAGTGACTTGCTTGTATAGTAGATGGGGTGTTGATGACCGCTATCTTCCTTGATAAGAGTCGAGCTAACGACTTTTTCCAATACGACTAAGTACAATCGCAACTAGTCGTCTCAGATCGGTTTTACTAGTAACAGAGCAAAATTGAGGTATTGTTCGAGCTGATCAAATGCTTCTAGACATTTGACTGTCCATTCAAACTTCTCCCTTTTCCTTAGGACTTTGAAGAAGGGAGACACTTGTCAGTCGACCTGGAAACAAATTGGTTCAGTGCAACTATCCGACCGTTGAGGCGCTAGAGCTGTTTTAAGTTCTTTGGTCGCTCCATGTCGAGCACGACTTGGATCTTGGCCGGATTAGCCTCAATCCCACATGAAGTCGAGGAACTTGCCTGAAGCGACGCTGAAGGCACACTTCTCTGTGTTCAGCTTCATCTGATAGTAGCAGAGGACTTCAAAGACTTCAGTTAAGCGTCAATATGTGAGCTGGATGACTTACTTTTGACCAACATGTCATCCACATAGACTTCCATGTTTTTGTGATATGTTTGGCGAACATCATGTTCACCATGCGTTCACACATCGGTCCCGTGTTTTTTATGCCAAAGGGCATTACCTTTTAACGGTAGAGCCATTGGTCCGTAACAAATGAGGTGTGCTCTTGGTCAGGAACATTCTTGATTTGATTGTACCATGAATACACGTCCATGAACGTCAGTAGTTCATGGCAGGCGGTGGCATCGACAAGCTGATCTATTCGAGGAAGAGGAACGGATAGTCTTTGTTTAGGCTCGTGAAGTCAATGCAAACACGCCACTTTCTGTTAGATTTTTTTGACTAATACAACATTAGAGAGTCAGACAGGGTAGTGAACCTTTCTTTATAAAATTAGCTCGTAAGAGCTTGTCAACTTTCTTACTTATTAAAAGGCTACGCTCAGCATTCATAGGCCGACGCTTTTGCTTTACAGGTCGGAAAGAAGGATCTACATTAAACCTATGTACCATGATGTTCGGGTCGATTCCCGGCATGTCTTCATACGACCATGCAAATATATCAACATCCGCTTGCAGGAAGTCAAATGAGCTCTTTCCTTGTCTCGACCCTTAGCTTCGTGCCAATGCTGATCTGTTTGTGTGGACTCAAGAGTGGCATAAGCTTAAACTACTCGGCATGCGTTCCTCGGGTCAACTCATCTGAAGACTGGGTTTCTCGACATAACATTCTCTTGATGTTATCTGTCCACCTCGGATAGTGGCAATTCTTGCTGTAGTTGGGTCTGTCATCATCTAATGATAAGTTGAAGGGATTGCCTTCAACTGATGTCTCAAAAGTCGGCCAATGATGGCATTATATGCTGAGGTACGGTCGATTACGACGAACTCTACGATCGTAGTGACCTGGTGCTCCCCTTCATCGAGGATGACTAGAAGCGAAATGCAACCCTCGGCAGTTACTGACTCCCCAGTAAACCCAATCAAGGGCATATGGCTCGGCTTCAACTGCTTCCTCTCCCATCCGAGGGCGGCATAAGTTGAGAAGGTGAACACATTGGTTGAGGCTCGTTGATGAGAGGAGCAATGACCAAGACGTCATCATGGGGCAGGTAGGCACCCTCAGTGTCTTGTTCACAAAAAGGATGGACAGGATCGGCTCCTTCGAATATGAGGTGCTAACCTCATGCGTAGCTTCTCAGATCAGAGCCTTCCTCTTCTGACCTGACTAGCCCCCACTTGGTCCACCCGCAATAGTGTTGATCACCGGGGGTCGGTCACAGGTGCGCTGCAGTGGCGTTTGAGACCATTCCTTCTTGTCATCCTTATTTGACCTGGTTGGTTCAGCCTGATCCCATGAACAAACATCTTTCTTCAGACAACCTTGACAAATCAAGTCTTCAATCTGATCCTTAAGGGCATAGTAGGTTGAGGTGTCATGGTTATGATCCTTATGAAACCAGTAATACTTGCTCTTATCTTTCTTGTTAGCTGGTCGGTGAGTCTTTCTTGGTGGCGACAGTAGATTCTTTAAGCCACCATCTTCTACAGTCGCCAAGATCTCGACAATAGGCGTGTTCATTGAGGTGTACTTGTCGAACTGAGGACGATGCCTAGATTCCGATCTATTATTGTCCCGACGGTCGGAGGGTTAATTGTTGGATCGCTGACCCGAACTGCAGTCATCATCTCGACGTTTTTGGCGGGTCCGGATTTGTTGTCATCCCGACTCTGGTTGCGCTTCACCCATTGGCCTTTTAGAGTTTTAGGCCATCAATATACTTTCGTGCTCGGATGAGCAGTTCATTTAATGAAGTCGCTGACTTGCTGTCGAGCTCAATCACTAGATTCTTGTCGTTTAGCTCCGAGGTAAAATAGATGATGGCCATATCGTCAGTACAATTGACCACCTTTACATGCTCGCCCATGAACCGAGAAATATAATCGGTCAAGGACTCTCGGTCTTGCTGTTAACAGTGTCGAGGTGAGATGGGGGAAGCTTCATGAACTGTGGAGCAGAAAACTGATTGATGAACATCTTACGCAATTGTTGATAGCTGATTGACTTCGACAATGAATATTGATCTTATGGACTCGATAACAATTGTTAAAATCGAAGCAATGAATCTTGATCTTATGGACTCAACGTCACATGTAGTTCTCTTCAAATCAGGACGTGCCACGTGTTGAAAACTCACCAGCAAGAGATATAGTTTTTTTTTTATAAAAGTGACAAAATTGAAATTATGTAAGTATTGAATTCAACAAATGTGGGGCAGAGAGTTTCCGAAACAGAGATCAACGGGGCAAGCCGGCCGTCCGCCCGAGAAAAAACAAAGGAAGAAATGAAAAAACGTTATTATTTATTTGGTCCGGCTAATTATTTTTATTTTTGTTCACAAAAGTCAATAAAAGAGAGAAAAATAATAAATTTAATAACAATAGGGCGTTTACAATTGGGCAGTCAAAGTTTAGAATATTATTTTCCTTTTTTATAGCTCAATCAGTTTAGTTTCTTTTTAAAGAGAGGATTCAACCCTTTAAAGGAAAAGGGTTAAGAATTTTGTTCCAGTAAAATTGTCTTTTTTTTTTTGACCTTTACACACACTCTCTCTCTTCCTTTGCCCAACCTCCTCTTGAAAATATCAGATCACATCTCTCTGCCGATATCTCATCCCTCACTTTCTGCCGGCGACCACGGCGGCGGCGGCGCAACCAAGATCCGGCACACCTACGTTCGACCCGATCACCACCACTCCGAGCATAGACCCACACCCTTCCCGCCATTGAGTTAAGACGGGTAAATATTCCTGAAATTGTATTTCTGAAATTTGGAAATTTTGAAGCTGTTTTGATATTCATAAAATTAAAATAATTAAAAGAACTTTCAAATTACATTTCCATGATTTTTAACAACTCTCTCGAATTCATCAGCTCTCTTTTTAAATAATAAAAATAAAAAGGAAATAAAACTTAAAAATTCTAAATTATAAATTCATCTTTTTTTTTTACCTAGTAAGAAAAAGGAAATAAATTCCTTTTTAAAAAAGGAAATAAAAGAATCAATGTTTAAATATTCTTAAAATCCATAATCGATTTAAAATTGATAAGCAAATAAAAAAGCAAAATCTTAAAAAAAATTCCTGGAATGCGTTGCATAACTTTCTTAGAGTTGACTAAATAAAATACATTCTAAATTTTTAAATGCTCCGACACACTCATTTTACTATTAAAATGTGAATTAATAAAACATTCACTAATAATAAATTAATAAAACAAAAGTAAAAATGATTTTCGTTTTCATGATAAATTTCAGATAAAATATGGTAATTGTTTTTAAAACAGATGTTGTAGGTGCAAACATTTCGTTGGTTACGACTCTAGACTTCTCCTATGGAAACACGCTTTGAGGGTGGATGGCCACTCTACGTCTACTTCGCGATGATGTTGCCTGAAATTTGGTAGTTGATGACTTGAGAGAAAGATAATTGATTTGATAGAATTGATTTGATACAATGCAAGTTCCTTTTCCGCATGATCTCCATCAGGTCACTCTTTTTCCTTCGAATTGCTTAATTTCCCTTTTGCATTCGTCTGATCATTTTTTTCCGATTCAACGCAAATGGAGGTTGACTTTCTTCCTTTTTCTTGCTGTCTTGCTTGAGCTTTTTCTAGGTTTTGATTTCTCGAATTCCCATGCTTTGTATTACAAATGATGAATGCATCGTTTACGTGCTTGTGTGCGCACATTTCTGTACTGGGTTCACTTGGATCCTCCGCGATTGGGTAAAAATTGGTCGATTGTCGGTGGCATGTTTATGTTCTGACGTGTAGGTTCTTCTCTTGGCATGATTTGTTCCACGCTCGAGAATTGTTGCTCTTGGAATGGTTGTTTTAATTCGATCGACTTAAATGGAGTTTATTTTTCTATTTGTTAATTGTGGTCATTAGACTGAGCATCTCTTTCTCTGTGTGGGTGGAATCATGTTGTGTTATGTGGGCAGTATACTCTGCCACTTTCATAATTGTTATACAAAATAAATAATAATGATGTTTAGGGTCATTCCAGTTCTTGTAGGTCTCCTACTTCTTAGATTGTTGTAGGATATATAACTTCATTCGTAGCTCAATCATTTTATCCCCAGATTGATGGAAACATGTTAGAGGGCAAGCCGCCGGAAAATGGCTCTGTTGAACAAGATGAGGATCACGACGACTCGCTATCTGGAAAGGTAAATAATGCATTCATTTTTTTTAAAGCTTAAAAAATATCTAACCCACTTTTCAATGCTATTCAAATAGCTTTAACTTGTGCATTATATTCTTTAAGAAGTGACAAGTTATATCTTATTGTCTGTGCGTCTGATCCACCCATATATGCAGTCTTTTTGAAGTTTGAGTAATTATTGAAGTGTGTTTTGTCAAAAATTTTGCCATTCAAATAAAAAATTTCATGATTTGGGTCACTTTCAAGCTCAATAAGAGAAACTTTGTTGTGAAGTGTGGGCGGTGAGAAGCTAACGAAGTTACCTTCAAAAGAGAGAATTATTTTCATTAAGAGAATTTCCAGGAATCAGACAGTATCTGCTTTCTTCCTTTGCAAATTAAAGGCCCCGTGGCCTAAGTATCCTCATATGGTAAAGGCTTGTTCCCAAATCACTGAGAGTTTGAAGTAATAAGATGTACCTTTTTTAGTGGGATGAGTACAAGTTAGAGGTGTGCCATTTGGAAAAGCAGAGAAAAGGGAGTCAAGGTCTTTCCTTCTCACATATTCCAAGGTGTTCATATGGTTCCACTTGTCTTTGGCAGATTAAGCAGATGATGTACTGATAAATTAATAGTCTTTTTTTTTTTTTTTTTGAACAAGAAACTATTTCATTGATATATGAAATATGATAA